ATGATGCTCAAGGGTTATACTGTAACTACATCTTTAGGGAGGCCGTGCGCCTAGGCAGAAATGAACGGATGGCATAGCAAACCTCTGTAGAGTTCCCTATTGTTTGTGGGCGGGGTACGATGTGACGCCGTCGTGCAGTTACTTCGCGCTAGCGCCGCGCGCTATCTAACAGTAGGGCGATAAAACTGCGTGCTCCTTTTGTGATTGCCAGACTAAGTTACACCGCGACGAAAACTATGTTCGGTGTACGGCTAAACCAAAAGGCCTCACTAGAGCGCCAACTGTTCACATAGCTGTCGATCACACGCCTATGGGCGCATTTTTCAACTCTATGGTTTTCATTTGTGGAACGGAGGTAGAAAATCTTGTTAAAGCAACAATCCAGGAACGAATTCGCGGGTAAGGACCACCTATAATGACGTTGCAGGTGAGAAGTTGGTCAATGGAGATAGAAAAAGTAGAAAAAAACGTCGGGCAGGGGCTTAGACAGGGACTCCCCGGCCGTTTAGGGAGATGTGTGTTGGACGAGTTGTCCGAACCTGCCCGTAGTACATGCGCTCCAGTTGACTGCTGGCAAATAGCCATGCATGCTTGCAAATACATAACTATTTGCCAGCAATCGAAATTGAAGCGCTTCAATTGGGTTCTTATGGAATCGACCTCATACAGCGCGGCGGTCCCGCAACGACCGCTAGTCGAGCAAGCGCTCTGCACAGCGAATGTTGGGCGATCCGCCTCTTTATGGGTGATCCGCCCCCTCCAAGAGGACTTCGACCCCTTCCAGCGCATTTTAGAGGTAGGTTTTGAAATTAAAGACATTTCCTATAAACTTTAGTTGGGCTGGGGCATGTTTTGACCGCCTAATGACCAAGTAGTTGAAACCCTGCCTGGACTGTTGCTTTAAGGATGTTTCATCGATAATATTATGGTAACTTCAGTCGAACGACGTTCGCAGAACCGCAGGATCCATTACCTGGAACCGAGGACTATTTGAACCGTCAAATCGACAAACTCTACAATGCGGGTGTTAATTGCTTTACTACGAAACGATTGGCGAAATTGTTTACAAAAGTGACAGCAGCGCTCCGAGTGAAGAAATAATTTAGCATAAATTATTTATAAATATATTAGTACTAAAAACAAGGTCATATAGGTTTAATATAGGTTAATTGATTAGCCTTACTAGTCGTACTAATAATATGATTAAATTGTATATTGTTGTTTTATTGACATATGCCGTGTTGCTAACATTGATCTCATTAAGCGATTGTATATAGGTGTCGAAAACACGATAAATTTGTTCCTTCTCTTGTTTGGATTTCGTATTTTTCAGATGTCCTTGCAGGTGAAAAGAGGACTGAATTGTGGGCAGAACGCAAATCGTGAGATTGGGACAATTTTAAAGGCACATTTCAGGAGTGGAACACCGCTAGGCGGGTTTCAGAGACCGCGATCCGTCGCGCGATTCGCGGCAAATCGCAAAAACGCAAGTGCCCCATTTAAACATTTGAAACACCGAATATGGAACAAGTAGTGTCATGGACATCGTCATTCAGTCATCACTATCAAGCAGAAATGGCAGCGGAATTAGGGAGCACCTCGCAGTACGCGGTCGGGGCACCTGCGATTTCTGCAATCCGTCGTGCTATTCGCGCGAACCGCGCGACGCATCGCGGACTCTGACACCAGTCTACCGCAAAGTAGGTGTGTCTGTAACCGCAATGGTGGTACAACTTTTGCGACTGAAAAGCAGGCAGGATGCAGAAGCCTCATTATTTTGCATCTCCGGGGCGCTAATGCGATTGATCTCTGCGTGTTGCCCATAGCTATGCTATCCTCTTTCTCTGGTTCTGTTCTCTCCCTTGACGCCCTGTGTTGTCTAAGTCTGTTTGAGTGTCTGTCTCTTGCACTTGTCTACCTGCCCCTTCAAAAGGTCACTGTTCTTGGTGTTCTCTGAGCCTTCTTTCCTTTTCTCTTCACTGGTAGTTCACTTCCCATCTTTTCATTTCCAAGTGCATAATCGCATCAGTCTTACCGTTGAATGTGCTTTTGAAAAGTGCTACAACATCACAGTACATTCTTTCAGTACGACAAGAAAGCCTGTAAGGATATCGGCCTGTTCATGATTCTCGATATTGTAATTTCAAATCACGGGGACCCGACAGTAGGTCCGCCGCGCCCCATTAACGCAGAGTCAGCGGACGAGTCACAGCGCGTGATGTGCGACGTAGGATGTACATGCTACGTTCTGTTCAACCAGACGCTAATCACTACAGTACGCGCTGCGACCCTCTGTCCGCTGATTCTGCCTTGATGCGGCGCGACGGGCCTCCTGTCGGGTACCCTCGAATCACGATGATCTCTAGGGTTTTCTCAGCGTTCTCTTTTGTTGCAACCGGTAAAAGTGGCGACTTTAACGTCGTGTACCTTTTCGCGGGCTAACATGCTGCCGTATTCTAAGGATGTGGTGCCGTATAGCCATTCGCAACGGCTAATCTCGCAGCAAGCTGTCGTGATTCTGCTCGCTCGACATTACCAGTGCACATTCCTGTTGCCGTTCTAAAGTTGCTTCGCTATACCAGCCGATATATGTATTGTTGAAAGCGTTTCGGGTAGCAGATCAACTTTCCAAGGTTTCCGTTATAGCAGATTTATTTCATACATTCAAGTATTTACTTCAATTCAGAAGGCACGTAACTCGAAAGAGGATTGAGACAATGATATAGTAGTCAGCAAATACATTAATGTTGAAAAGTGGTACAGGATAAGGGTATAATTGAACAATGCGCAGAACAAGGAATACAGGTGAAATACGAGGAGATATTTTCGATAAGTGTTGGGTTCAGAGAGAAACCCGTCAAACGATATAAAAAGCTCGTAAAAGTCATGGTTAGCGCCACTGATAAAATAAAATATGTAAAAATTCACGTCAGAGTTATGAATCCTTTCGACAGTGACGATTCGATCGGGATTTAGAGAACAGTGCCGTGAGGTTACATCGGTGCACCATCCAAGGCGCTCTTCATAAAAACTAACCAGTACAGCAAATTGTAACAAGTATACACCACTGAAATTTAAAGGTGTAAGGTTCTCTACGTGATTTCGAAGTGCTCAAGCTCAATATTTTCAACATACAGTAAAGTTGAATCACCACAAGTTGCATATATTTTTCACACAGAATAGCTTTATATGTAAAACTCACAAGGAAATCCTATTCGAGCATAGAAGTCAATTTTTTCGCAGAATTGTATATTTCGCGATTTCCTTGGCAGTTCGGTACCGGTCGAAGTCTTGCTAATGTTCCACTCGAAGAAGAACAGATAAGTATTGAAAAAGCAGTAGCCAAATTATCCCCTGCTTCTCAGAACCAAATGCGCGTCGAGTGCAGAGCATACACCACAAGTGACGGCGGCATTATGGTAAACCTGGTAAAAGGATCATAGTGATAGCTGATAGCAGTTAAATGATAGCTGTAATTAGTGACAACACTGATAGAACACAACTACAATCAGGTAATCATTTTATTAGCAGGAAACGTCTACTTTTAAGGAGGCCGTCGTCACTTTTGCTGTGTGGTCTGCACTTGACGAGCATTGGTTTTCGAAAACAGGGTGAAAAGTTTTTTTATTGACCACGTACGTAGTCCTCAAACTTCCTACGTTCTTTTTTTCTTTTCAGCAGTAGTGGGTTATAGTACAAACGGGATGAAACTTTGTGCTCTACCTTCTTCCAGAAGATCCACTCAGGCTAGTAGGCCTTCCTTCATTTCTTGTCATATAACCGATTGTCGCCAATTCAACAAGAGATGCGAAGACGAAGGAAATTCCACTAAAAACGTAAAAATAGATAGGTAAAGTCAATTGCGCAAAAAACACAACAAGTTGAACACTAACCTGAGCATCCATACGTCTATGGCTTTGACATAAGAGACTCTAGGAAGATTTCGAATGATATTTTCCAAACTGAAACGTCATCGCAAGTAGGGCATTCACTCCAATCATTGTTCGGGCAGGAATAGCCTTTGGACCAAGATAAAATGGGATCCAAGAGATGAAAATGGTCATATACGTTGGAATGTAGCCTGAAATTGAGTTGCAAAGTACAACTGAATTGCACTAAATTGCCTTTATTGTCTAGGTCAGGATTATAGAGGCATTACGAGGATTTACTTATACCGGAGAGACGCATATCACGAGGAGTGGAATGGGCTGTTTGGAGCATTTACTGGGAGGCCGTTACTTTACAACCAGAAAGTCAGCGTCTCCACACAATCGGGTGTGGATGTCTTCGAAGAAGGAGTCCACGATCAGGTAGGGAGTCGATGAAGGGATTTGTTATGCTTAATGAAGAGGCTCCCATGAGGGTCGGTGCGGGTTTCGGGTAGCGAGGGGATAGTTGCTTCGCAGGGCCATACGGGTGCCGATAGCACCGCTGCCCTCCCGATTCCTTGCTGTGAGTCGACCGGCTCCTGCAGCGAGAACTTGTTGGCTAGGCCGTTTTTCTTAGTTTGTTTCTGCTTTCTGACCAACTCCTTCTAGTGGGTCGTCTTTTCATCGTGAACTCCTCTCTTGAGGCAGTGAGTACATTAGAGCTGGATGATGGAGCGGTTTGCTGCTCTTCCTGCGCGGTGAATGTCTTCCCTGCGTGAAGAAAGTTTGTTAACCCATTGCGTACCGCGGCGTTTTTTGGCTGGCTGGCGCGTGTGGCCGGCGCCTATTTAGACCCCCCGCCGCATGCTGCGCGATCCTAATAAAACTTTCATTTAAATTACAAACACCTATTATATAAGCACTGCGCATATATCTTACACATTTGCAGTATTTCATGTTTATTTTTGTACAGTGGAATTAGTTATTATTGCATGATGTAGGGAGTAGGGTAACCGAAAATGCGACAGAATTGAAAAAAGAGTTTTGAAGAATATAACAAGTGGAAAAAGAGCTGAAAGTGATTGAAACGTAGTAGCTTTAATTGTTTTATATGCTCGAAGTTGTCGCTTAGCCGTTCCTTCACTTTTACTACAATTTAGCGAAAAAATTGAGAGAGTGCAACTGGAGTTTTTCACAACAAATACCAGTAATTCAGGAATTCCTTCTCATTGCGCAGTCCCACGTCTGTATGTTATTCTCCGGATTCAGTTTATCATTACTATTAGATTAGAGCACGAGAAAATGTCGAAAATACCTTCAAAAACCCGTGCTGCACCATGTGCAGCACGCGGCCACACGGAGGCAAATCAGCGTGCTGCACCATGTGCAGCACGCGGTACGCAATGGGTTAATTCTTGGTTTTGTTTTTTTTTTTTTTTTTTTTTGGTTTTTTTTTTTTTTTTTAATTCTGTGTGGCGCTGGTCAGTGAGGCTTCTTTTCAGTATCTGAAGTTTTTCTTCTGTGGCCATTATCGCGAACATGGTCAGTTTGGCGGGAGGAAGTACTGTTTGAGACAAAACAAAGCCTCTCCACTTTTTATGCCTTTTCCATGCATTTCCTAGAGTATGACGCCTCGAACACTAGTGGTATCCTATTCTTGGAACTCTTCGAGAAAAATAAAAGTTTTGACTGGTAATTCTTACCCTGAAGTAAATACCATCCATAACGTCGTCGAAAAACAAACGTAACAGTGAGCTCATCCCAATAGCCGGCTGCGTACAGCTGAAAAAATCAAATTATTCTGCATGTCGTGTGAACAAGGTCCATATAAGAGGCATGTATCAAAGTCAGAAATTGTGACAATCATTCAGATTCACACAACATATTAGCGCCAAGTTCATTAACCACGGAAACTTAGCGTGGCTGATCTAAATTCGGTCCCCCCCCCCCCCCCCCCCCCCCCCCCCCCCCCCCCCCCCCCCCCCCCCCCCCCCCCCCCCCCCCCCCCCCCCCCCCCCCCCCCCCCCCCCCCCCCCCCCCCCCCCCCCCCCCCCCCCCCCCCCCCCCCCCCAACCACAAGTTTTCGTGCATGGTTAATGACTTGGCGTATAATATGTTTGGTGAATCTTGATGGTGTCACAATCTGCTGAACTTTTTTACACGAACCTTGCGGAATGCAACTGGCAGCGAATCGTTCGTTCTGCAAAGTCTGACACCGGTCCACAGATATGCGAATCCAGGAAATCGCGGGACGTATGACAAGTGTTGATGGGAGTCGGGCCGGCAAGCTATTCTCGTGCCCACGTTCCTCTTGGTTACTTTTCCGGGTCACCGGAGCGGTATCAGAGAGCGAGAGGGCACCAGAGCCCGGGTAACAGTGGCGAGAGTGAATGTGCGGGGGATAGGGGCTCTCGCCACTTTCAAACACTGTCAAGTCGCTGGTACAAGTTCGAAACCGCTGTCGTGAATAAGTCTATCCGCTGTTACATCATCGTACCGCTGCGTGGGGGTCGCTCGTGTCGCACCCCCACGCATTCGCTAAGCGGTTCGCTGGATTTGCAAAGACCTGACATCGTTAGGAGGAAGGGGGTTGGCCCACCATAGTGAAAAAGTATCATTTGCAAATCTTTGCTAATGACATACTAAGATAACTTAAAGTTAAGGAAAGAGATACATTCTACTAAAAAACCTCCCAAATGATCAACGCAATAAGATGATTATTAGCATTCTTTGGGTTTATTCCATTACAGGTGAACCAGTCAAAGCAGCCACTTTATTTCTCGAGTATGGTTAAACACCCGCATTCAATCAGGCAGTGTACTTTTACCCACCTTTCCCCCATCTCCATTAATGCGGTCTCACAGTAAGAAAGGTCAGTTCCTTTTTAAATCTTCAGGCAGGAGTGCCGCTAGATTTCCAAGTCTACGAGCACCAATATGTATGTCAGAACGCCTGAAGGATCAGCCATTTAGCTAGCCAGCCTGCCCAATTCTTCGGATCAGTTCGAAATCTTGGTTTTCTTTGAATCTTCAGCTTAGAAGTTGTCCAGTGCCCTGATTACGGAGACGACATTCATTTCAAGGCCAGTTGGTGGCAGAAGATGTCCCTATCTACTCCAATACTACTCTAGCCAGGGTGAATATCGGTCGAGGAAATCCTCGACAGGGGGGTCGTACCTGTTGGGCTGGTCCATGGGGGGTCGTACTCTTGGGGGTCAGTAACAGAAGTGGTATCATGGTGCAGATAGGTAATAGGGTATAGCGCAGCAGAAAATGAAAACATCCGAAAAAAACATGATATTAAATTTTCTTTGCAGGTTCAGTCGCTCCATTCCTCCACCTTCATGAGAAGGGCGTATTTGAAGGCAGTACAAAGAATGAAAGTGCATCCCCGCAAAGAAGAGTGCCACATGTGCGCACGCGCTGCAAAGGCACCTCCTCCTGCCTATCACTCGCTCCTTCTCCCTTAATACCTCGCTGAGAATGACGCTGTTGTTAGGGACCCTGTCGGAAAAACGACAACCGTGAAGAAAAAGCGCTGGGCAAATGAAGTTGTTTTTAGGTTACAGGAATAGCACAACACACTATGTCTACTACAGTACAGTTTCGTTCGAAGGTCCCCATCATATAACACCTTTCAATCGATTCTGCAACTGTGAGTGGAGGAGGGATGCATGGCTTATACCAATACCAAATCGGATGATGACGATTGCTCCTATTCTTATTGTTTGCGTTCAAAGATATTGTTCTAGACACATTCCGAGTGTTGCCAACGAGTCACACTTGCAATGGTGAATGAGGGAGCGGATTTCCAGGTGGCCGGATCCGACCTCGATAGATCCTCGACGCAATTATCTCTTCAAACCAAAAGCTGTAGAAGAAAACTAAACAGACCATCAGGAAGCGCAAACCTTCCGCTTTCCAAAACTATCTTCCCTTTTTCAGGATCTTACAATATAAGAGATATATTGCTCTTGAAGTGGCAAAAACTCGCGTGAAAATTTGGGCCTCCTCGACATTTACTCGACGAAATTTGACAGACCCTATCTTTCTGCAAGGAAGGCTTCCAGAGCAATTTCGATGCTTGTTGGAAACGCGAAATCCAGCTCTATCTAACTCTACCTCAAGCTGCTTCAAAGGTTGTGAAATGGAGGAATGCAACCTTTTCATCGAGGGTGTAGATTCGGACGTTTTTTTTTGAAATTTCGGCAAATCTGACCCAGTGACAATCGCGCCGCAGCTGCCGTTGAATCGGCCTTTGATACACTCGGCTGTTTTGATATACTCAAGCAAGAATCAAGATTGAATCGCAACCCCGTGTCTTCAGGATTTCTGTGCGTTTCTGAACGAACCTCGCCTTGAGGTCACACAAAGTTAATGCCTCTTTCCTCGAGTCGATATTTCAGTATGTACACAAAAGTATGCAGCGATGGAAGACGTGCATAGATGACAAGATGAAGCGTCCTTAGCATTATTTTGCAGAATTTTTTTTGATTTGTTTTGCAGGATTTATTTTAATTGAATTAATTTGCTCTGTTAGAGGGGGTCGTGCCAGGATCTCGATTTCGGGGGGGGGTCGTACCTCTGCGACCACGTACTCGACACGATTTTCACCCTGCTACCATCGTTCTTGATCATAACTTCGTATAGCATACATTATAGAAAATGCGCCTTCATGCTTTGTCTGTATATGTTCACCTACAGTAACTACATAGTTTTGACAATTTTAACACTTTTCTGTACATTTTCGTGGATACTATACATAATTTTCCATTGTTTCACATTGACGATGTAGCCTGCCTTCAGAAAGAAATACTGACCGTTAAGTTGTCCGATGTGCTGTAGTTGACCATGGAGAAGTCTGGTAGTTCGATGTCTTTGAACTGAATTATAGGTGAATCACTCCATACCATATGAACTTCTTCCTGAATAGGCTATAGTAGATCAGTCTTTCGCGACAAAAAAAAATTTTGAACAAATTCGTACCCTGTTATAGTTGAAAGATTCAAAGGTCAATATACACTCAATTGTATCCATGGGAAACTTCGATAGCATACATTTTACATGGACCAGTACTTTTGATGCGCCAATTCGACCATATTGAGCCTAGAAAACAAGTGATTACTTGCTCTTTCACAGCTCTTCTACTAACAACTTAAACGAAGTTTTTTTTGATTCGTACATAATTTTGACACTAAGCAAGCTAAATTTTGCGTTCAATGCTAGTAGTTGGGCACGCCGATTTTTTTAATACGGTAGGCGAGAAATGTATGTAAGTAGTTACCGGTAATCACTGCTATGACGTGACGAGACGCTAATGGAAGTAGTTCTTATAAAACGCTCGCGATGTGGAGTGACTGCTCGCCCGCTTCTCCACACTCCACCCTGGCTCAACAATTTTCGTCCCTTCCTCCCTTTTTATGGCCCTTTCCCTTTTTTTGCAAACAGTTTTCTGTCAAATTAATCTTATATATTCTTCGAGACATGACAAAGACATAAACGAGACAAAATAATGGCTTTAGTGGGAATACAGATTAAATATATGATATTTATGCTTGCCGCGCAGCATGCGGCCGTGAGCGCAAAAAGTGCGCGGTCCGGAAAGGGTAAAAGGATCCTTCACGGGAAATCATGACTCAATTTCAGTCATAATTCACTGGCTTGAGACCCGTCATCCACGATAAGAATGAAAAGAACAGAAAAAATTGCATTTGTTTGGTAAAAAAATTCGAAAAACCGAAAGCTGCTACGCGTTCAAGTTACCGCCGCACATCTGTCACAAATGCTGGCGACGGGAATGCTTCCACTTGGTTTTTGGAGTGCCGTCACTAGAAGCTCTTTCTGGCCTTTTGCTTTATTGCATTCACATCTTACACTTCTACTCCATCCTATTCTATCGATCGATTTGTCTCTACTCTCCGAAATCGCACGCTTTAACCCGATTCTTTCATTGCGTCGCCTGATACGTAGGCGCCCCAGTGCGGACTTATTCCTTTGGCTCCGCCCGAATTACCTTCGATTGTCCATAGAAGTGGATTTTCGTGAGTTTGTTTCTCTTCGGAAACCGAACCTTCATGCGTGAAACTTTGTGTATTGCATCTAGTGATCACACTGATACATTCATGAGATGCAAGAATGTAACGCGAAGGATTGCTTTAAGGGTGGAGGCGGCGTACGTAGTGGAATTTGACACGACGTACACTATACAGAGGTCAAATCTCGGATCGAACCTAGCCTTCGCCAAAAAGGCCTTCCATCCGGGGTCGATCAATTGATACTAGGCTTGTACCGCAAAAACTGAGAGAAGCATCGATTCACCACCCTAACTCGCTGTACTTCAATGTAGCCCAATACTCCTTCACAACCCTGGAAGGTAGCTAAAACGTTGTTTATGAGATATAACAATACAATGGTGATTACTTCGCCGTCCAAGCGTCTTCTTCCAGTCACATCAAAGCTGATGACCTCCGGGTATCAAAGGAATTTTTCCAAAAAAGTACTACCTTCCTCAAAGCTGATGCATCCCACAAATGGTAGCCCTCGGCGTAAGTTAATCAGATTTGATCTGTCCGCTAAACATCTAGCTCGACTTCGCTCTCGCGCTGCTACGAGATGGAGTTGGGGGATACACTTGTATGGGCACGTGGTGAGCTAACGTTCTTAGGGGGCTTCGTTGGCCTCTTGGGTCAACGTGGACATACGATCGCAGAAGACAGAAAAAATGGGAGCGAATGCTTTGTTGTTCGTGCTCGTACATGAAATGAGAACGAGATGTATAATTCTACGTAAATACTAATGTTATTCAATATGTGTAAGTCAGTGTCCTTATAGTCGCGCTCTTTTCACGTTTCACTCCAATACTCTTCTATTCCACAGAAAATTTACCAGAGTTCTCTTGACAGAGCGGAGCTGTGGCGGTAGTGGGTGGGGAAGATGGGTCACCATGCGTTGTTACTAGTAACAAGGGGAGTCGTACTTGGTTGAGTTTGTAGGAGGGGGGGTCGTACGTGGTTGAGTTTGTAGGAGGGGGGGGTCGTACCCGTTTCAGTCGCTTGAAATCACATGTGAGTTTGAGGTGAAACTGAAGTTTTTATGGGTAGGTAGGCTGGGTGAGTTGAGGGGCGCAGGAAAAAATTTGCCGTTTCAGCGCCCTCCCCCCACTATGGAGACGATGATGGTCGAGGTGCTTGAAAAGGGGTAAGAACGTATCAAAATCCCCTGGAGGAGGGGTCGTAAATAATTTTCAAAAAGTGTAAGCAACGATAGGGTTGACCCTAGTGGGGAAGATGCTATACTGTACAATGAAAATGAGGAAGTTCCGCTATCTTCATAAAAAATCTCTGAATGCTCGAAAAATTTCTTGCAAAATCTGTGAAATCCATCTTCAAAAAACCTCCTCCCGAGCCGATGAAAACCCCGATCAACGTTCGACTTACATGTCTGACGAGCGTACCTCCTCCCATCTTCGGAGCCTCCCTTTCCGTACTCAGAAGAGTCTCGTGCGAGTTCTTTTTGCTTTGGAAGAGAAAATCTAACTAAGTCATCCCCCTTCCGAATTACGGTCTCAGTCTCACCCATGACGCCTTCCCGTCAAAGAATTCCCACTTTGGCTCTCTTTCATGATGCTGCTGCAATCTGACCCACTACCTTTGATGAAATTCGATAATGTTTCATGATGAAGAATGATGTGGAGCAACTGTCTCAGTGAGCTGTTACGTTCAGAAAGGACCCGATAGATCGAAAACAGCCCACATGTCATTAGGACGCTATGCCATACCTCATTTTAAGTCTTTAACTGGAAGTGTCCGACGAAGACAGATAATTGCAACTTTCTCTTCGAGAATCCGTCCAAAGCAGATACACACTGACTCTCCAAAGTCACTCCAGTCGCGCAGTTAACTCAATTTGCGCCATCGATTTATAAACTCTTGACAGAGATTTGCATGTTGTGAGTTCGGCAGACGATGTCACATTGCTCACTACCACTCATATTTTGCACACAGCAAGCTAAATGTCCATAAAAGCATCTTCTTCAAAAAGGAACATTAACGCGATAGGGCGATTTGCGTTGGGGGCGTGATTTCGGGACAAGTGAAGATGAAATGCAATTTTCAGGCAATTTCTTATTCTACAACGCGATGATCAAAGACTCCCCATGCAGTCTCGAGCATAAAATCTTTTGTAAAAAAGCGAGCACAAAAAATGAAATCCAGGAAAATCAGGCGGTTGCGGAAGACGCTCATGACAGTAGCCCTAGTAGTGTACGAGAAACAAAATTTTGGACTGAAGCGAGATTAATGTAGAGAAAAGGATGAAATTTTCCAGAAATTCAGGTTGTTCAAGTCTGTCAACGAAGAACTAGAGATTAGTCGAAAAAAAGGCTGAAGGGTGGGAGCAGGGTCAACCCTACGTTGTTACGAGTAACAACGGGGGGGTCGTACTCAGTTGAGCTTGGAGGGAGGGGGGTCGTACCCTCTCGGTGGCCGACAGTGGGATTCTTGGTAATATCGGATAATAGCCAGCACGTTACGTTTTCGTAAGATGACTGATACTAGCATCTATAAACCACGATTCCCTCTAAATGAGCTTTCAAATGAATCAGCGAATTAGAAGGGCGCCCGAGGCGTGGCGCGCACCAAGGCAAGGGATGTAGTGCAAGCGCATGCTCGGAGCTTTCTAGCATCCTTAATTAAACATAAAATTGGTCTTCCAAGAAGTTACGGGCAGTGAAACCTAAGAAAACTCGCGTTTTCGAGAAAATGGCTTGAAGAATACCCCTCAAAATAAAAAGTAACAACGGGACTAATTTTTGAACTGCTGATCTTTCAGGAACGCTTGGGTGCTCGTTAGAAAGCTTGAATCCTGTAGTTTATTATACCGTGTTCAGCTTCCCAAATGAATGACTTTGAAGGAAGTTATGATCGTTTGAAGGTCAAAAAGTCGCTTTGCACAGAAAAAAGTAACAACGTACTAAATTTTTATTAAATTAACTTCGAAGAATTTTTACCATGGTTGGAGAGAGAATAATTTGAATTTTCCAAATCAAATCACTTTCGGCGCAGAAGCTCGAATATGAAGGAAGTTATAGCCTTAGAAAGAGGGGTGTAAAAATTGTGTTGCAATTGAAGAACGTGAAGGATTTCAGTATTTCAATTGGAGCGATAATTTTTTCTGACTTCTCATAAGTTTTTATCAGGTAATATTGTCAATATTACGGTCACTGGTTCAGCTTATTTCATCTCCTAGTTTGGTAACCCTTTGGAGTACACGGATATCTTTGAATGCATCTCATTTTTTCGTGTTTGCAAGCAGCGATGAATTTCTGTCGTGGATTTTGCTAAAGTTTCATCTTTAATGACTTACGTAGAAATAAATATTGATGGTAAACACTGTCTCTACACAAGTTACATACAAAGGGGGGTCGTATCAAATCACCCTGAAGGGGGGGGGTCGTAAAAAATTTCCGAAGAGTAACAACGATAGGGTTGACCCTGGTGGGAGTGACTGATTAAAAACTAGTAGAAATTAGTTTCAGTAGTTACTGTACCATGCCTTCACAAGCCATAATGATGAATCGGAGGGACAAACGGATTCCTACTGCAGCGTTTTCGCTTTGTTAGATGACTGTAATATCAACTGGTTCTACCCATAGAACCAGATTTGCGAACCACTCCAGTTAGGGAAAATTCCAGAGAGATCTTGAAGTTATGAGAAATGCCTATAGCTCGACCTTCAAGATGATGAACTTGAACTTCACTCATCCGTCCACTTCATCCTTTAACTACTGCTGCATTATCCCGACACGCTCTTCGAGAACGTAATTCTTCATGAGCACGTTTTCACGTCGGTCTCGAGTTGTACAGTCACCAATGTGCTCCAAGAGGGTTCAACAGATGAGTGAGTACAGCACGGCTTTCTCATCTGTTGGCCTGAGTATGGATTCTTTCAAATGAAGATGCCCCCTCCCCAATCACGATGTTCTACGCGATGCTGCTGAACTGTATTCTAACAAGACGTTTCTTCATACATCCCAAAACAACTCCGAGGTGACAATTTTAAGATCCCTGGTAAAAACCTCTAAAAATTTTGGAAATTTGCAGCTTGGATTCAATAAGCATGAGCTGCACTTGCTCCACATATACATACTCTGTCATCGGCATGTCTCTGTTGGTTAGATACTCAAGAGAATAGATGGAAAAAGGCTTAAAATGAAAAATGCAAAATATCATGATTTCCGGAGAAACAACAATCGAAAGACTTACCGTTGGGAAAGACCATCAGAAAAACATTGCGAAAAGGTGAGCTGTGAATTTGGGCTTTTTTCGAATTAACGAAACATGTGTTTGGTGTCCAGATATTTTGCAAGACTGTCCAGTCAAAGGATAAGTTTCCTTGGCATGGATTCAATATAGCGTATGCCAATCCTGGATCCGTCCAATACTCGTTCATGTATAAATCTGTAACAGAAAATAATCTGCTATCACATCCACGTGGGCGTCGTTCAAATTGAATTTGCATATTTTTGGAATCAAGCCAAGATCTCACCAGCGAAAGGACCGACTCAGTCCCTGCTCTTAAGACACTCGTCTTGAACAGAATACACATATTTAATTTTTTTTGTACCATGATATTCTTATGCTATGTTACTGAATTGAGGGGAAGTTTGAGTTGGTTTCCGACTTAAAACAGCGCTATAAGCGTACTCTAGAAAATCTTCCGATGAAGTCTTTGGAAACGGTTGGCTCGAGGTCTCAGAAAAGCAATAGTATCGTTTATCCACCCAAACCACCTCTCCTCTCTTCCCCCTCAGCCTCCCCCCCCCCCCTCACCCTCTCCCACCACCTCCTTTCAAATGATGTTGACGTCGAGCTGTAACAAACTGTTCAACTTAAAGACATAAAAAAATTAATAAGGATACATTACATTACATGCTTTAGCAGTGATGTTTTAGGCACTCCCAGTCATCATCTTCTTTGGCTTTGAAAAAGCTTCGATCCACTAATTTTGGTGAAACTACATCTCGGAAGTTTATTCAGCGTTAGCTGTGGACGGCTCAATTACTTTATTAGCCTTTCCAATTAATTCCATAGTGAACCCTGTCATCAACACATTGGCAACGGTCAATCAATAATTTTATTTCTACAAATTTAGATTTTTTTCTACAATAGTTCAATTTCAATTCAAGTCCTACAATGCCATTTTTCTACAATAGTCATTAGTCCACTAATGATTTCTCTGATCACGATGAATATGCTACTCTCCCTATCCGGTACTGGTGCTCGAAAGATTT